ACCTATGAACAAGCTAAGCCTACAAGAGGTTGCTTTGCCTCAAAGCTCACCTCTCGAAATCAGGAGAGCCAAAACTGAGTATTTGCCAGTGTGGCTCTAAGTCTCCTATGCTGTCAGCATTTAAGAATAGCTCATGTGCCCAGCAATCCCACTCCTAGGCATATACCCAGAGAAACGGAAACATACACCCACACAAAAAGTGGTACACAGATGCTTACAACAGCATTATCCAAAACAGCCGAAAGATGGACAGAATCTGAATGCCTATCAACTGCAGAAGCAGAAAAATGCTATATAAAGCGAAATGTGGTTGAGCCATGAAGTGGGATGAAGAATGGATACAGGCTGCAATGTGGATGGCCCTTGACAAAGGTATGCTGAGCTGAAGAAGTCAGTCACGGAAAACCACAGGTCGGCTGATTCCATTTCTACCCTGTTTCCGTGAAAATAAGACAGTGTCTTATATTAATTTTTGCCCCCAAAGATGCTCTAGGTCTTATTTTCAGGGGATGTCTTATATTTCCATTTTTATTGTTTATTGTTTTATTAAAAAAGACCTCGAACTTCCTGTCTGCTCCGGCTGCGCTGCTGCCAACAAGTGAGCTGCTCAGAGGCTCCCACTGTTACGGTCTAGAGTCCAGAGTTCCGGTAGCTTCGGGGGGCCTTATTTTCAGGGAGGTCTTATTTTCAGGGGAATGCCTTATATTTCCGCGAGAGGCAAAACTGAAAGTAGGTCTTATTTTCAGGGGATGTCTTACTTTTGGGGAAACAGGGTATGAAGTGCCCAGAACAGACATATGTAGAGAGTGAGTGCAATTGGTTGGTAGTTTCAGACTGGAGGGAGGCAGGAATTAAGATGGTGATAACCATCTTATAAAGGAACTACGTTTCTTTTTAAGGTGGCGGGAATGCTCTAAAATGGACTGTGGTGATGGGTACACAATTATGTGTGAATACACTAAAAAGTCCGTGCTGTTAGTGGGTGGATTGTGTTAAAACTCTTTAATGAAAAAGAAAGGAAAGAGCTCATGCTCTGACAGGGTGGCACGGTTCACTCTCTCAAAGGCTAAGAGAAGTCACATGAGTCACGGGAGGGAACAGCGACTGGCCCTGGCTCTACCATCACCCCCAGGATGAATTAGCTATGTGATCTTGGACAAGCTGTTTCACCTTTCTCTGCCCTGGCTCCTCGTCTGCAAACGGGCTAATAAGCCCTATCTCATCAAGTGTTTAAGAGACAGCATCCAGCATCTTGAAAGTCGGAGGCTTGAAGGACGAGGCAGAGGGGGTACCAACACCGAGTACAGAAGAAACTGTTCTGAAATGGAGTGTGATGATTGCACCACTCTTCTTAGTATGACTGAACGATTAAATTGCGTGATGTGTGAAGTGTAACGGCAATAAAGCTATTTTAAAACACAGAGGAATAGGTGGGTGCTAGCACACGGAGACCCTACCCTCCTGTGTTTCCAGAGGGGATCAGCCCCCGGGGCAGGCAGGAGCGGTTGGTGGTTTGCTGCCTTCTCTCTCCTAGGAAGGCCTCCCTGGGTGGTATGAACTACGGAGAGGCTTATGGGAGAGCTAAGAAAAGGCCAGACTCCTATGAGAGTGAAATTTGGCCCTTTGTAAAGGCAGTGGGATAGGGGGGATGATTCAGAGATGTTTTCCTAAAAACAATTGGGAGATGGAACGAGATAAAAATTAAAAAGCCAAACACATAAAATGTTAGGGGAAATAAAACAAAACACCACAGTTGGTAATAGAGAGGTGAAGTCAATTCCGTCTCAACTCACAGCAATCCCATGCACAGTAGCGCAAAGCTCTGCCAGTCCTGCGCCATCGTCACAGTCGGTGTGGCCGAGCCATTGTTTCAGCCACCGTGTCCAACTCTTCTTCACTGACCCTTGACTTCACCAACACAAGGTCTTGCTCCGGGGAGTGATCTGGCACCAGCATGGGAACCCAGTTGGTAAAATACAGGCTGTGTACTTTTCATACATTATCTCATTTTAATGCTCCCCAGAAGGCAGGGGGATGTGGTAACCCTGAAATTAGAGTTTCAGTTCTTAAGAAATGGGATCCAGGTCTTTATTTGGGCTGATGGGAGGGCTCAAGGATTGCTGGGTCTCCATGAGACTTGGGCTCTTGTATTTGCAGAGAGAAGGATCCCTGGAGGCACAGTGGGGTAAGTGTTGGGCCGCTCTCTGCATGGTCAATGTTCAAACCCACCTTCTTTCTCCTAGGGAAAAAGATATTGTCTGAGAAACCCCAAGGATCAGCTCTTCTGTCCCGTAGGAGAGCTGTGAGTCCGAATCAATTCAATGGCGGCAGGTTAGGGGGTTTGGGTTACAACTGAGACAGGAGGTTCAAAGAACTGACCATAACCCTTCAGCTGTAGACTAGAGCCAAAGGGGAGGGGAAGGGTAGCGAATGTGCAGCCCCCACAGAGGCGAAGATCAGGGTGGGAAAGACTCCAGGAGCCAACTGCATCTAGAGAGAAACCAGGGAAAAATAGGGGTTGTGGCGCCTAGAAATGAGGAAGCCAACTGGACCAATAGATAGAGATAGCACTGCTGGTTGAGCGCTGCAGGGGCAGACCCCGGCTCACTGCAAGGAAACACCTGAACCCATGGACAGGCAAAAGATTGGAGATGCATTGTCCGCAGGCCAAATTCATCGGGGGACATGATTTGTGGCTTATGGTGTTATTTTCTTCCATTGTATTTGAATGTCCTTCTGAGGCACATGCGCTCCCATTAGGCCCCACCTCACACACCACCACCCTCTGCTTTTACACCTCCACCCAGTGTCATCTGTAACTTGCCTTTCTCTGAAGCAGCGTTGTTAAATTTAGCTAAAAAAATCAATAGGACATTCAGTTAAATTTTGATTAGTATAACCAAGGAATATCTGTATGCTACTTGGGATGTACAAATGGGGTGTGTATTTAGTCTGGCAACCTGCCCTGGAGGTATTTCAATGGGAACCCCTGGTTCTACATTTTGAAGAGCTAGGCTCACATCTGGGAGCAACTCAAGCAGAGACTTATCTCAGAGGAGCACTTGGGTGGACACTGGGATGTGATGGCTTCGGGTACCCTGGCTTGTTTTCTCCGGGCTGCCACTGCAGAGGGGCACTTGGGAGAGGAAGAGAGTGAAATCCCAGGTGCTGGTGCAGGTGTGGGTGACAACTGAGGCAACTGTTTCTTGCCCTAACATTCCAGTCAAAGTTCTACTGGGAAAGCTAGGATTGACTGATGGATGAGGATATACAAATGTTCTTGACACTTAACGTCCATTGCTACTAAAATTTGTTTGGTGCGCACTGATTGATGTGGCTGTCTGTGGCTGGGGAGAATAGTGTGACCTCTTTGTCTCAGGACATGTACCAAGGGGTACAGGACACCCCCAAATGATAACCCTCCTTTCAGAAGCATCTCTGCTATTGTGATGAGTCCTGCTGCCAGACTGCTTCTCTGGTTGTTCTGACCAGCCGGGGACCCACTCACCAAGGAGGAGATGTAACACGGCAGCAGGTGATGTGTGAGAAGAGGGGGGACTGGTGCCCTCTGCTACCACAGCCCCCATGGAAAGGGAGTCATGGTCTCTGGGATCGCTTTCAGAAAGTGTGCCTCACAAAGTGGTGTCTAGATAGAGTGTCTTTGGTTATCAGGTGGTCTTACAGCATCTTCCTTCTGACCCCCAGAGGACCAGAATGTGTTTGCTAGGCCTGAGGGACCATTCGTTCTGGGGATGAGGAGCATTTGTCTCACAGTGCTGGGACCGAGCTCCGTGGCCTCTCTTCTTTCTTCTCCATCCTCGGTGTCTCCCTCCCCAACCTTCACATATTGTCCCAGAGCCCTTCACTCAGACACAACCCCAACAGGCCGGGGACGAGAAGAGCACGAAGAAAAACACAGCAGGGAAGTACGCTGAGTCAGCCTTCCTCTAATATCAGGGATTTGCGAACTAATTTGTTAATTTGTTAAATTTGAGGAATTCCACGGAGGTCACGGGCTTTGCCGTCACTTTTAAAGAACGGGGCATGGGGCCACCCGGCCCGCTCGGATGCTCGACACATAGCCCCGGTGACACTGCGTGCCTGGGTTGTCCGCTTCCTTGTGGAAGTAGCTGAACCCACAGGAGTGACTCAGACGCAGTCAAAGCTCGTTGTAATTCACGTGAAGCGGGGGCAGCCGCTTAGTGTGTCCCTGCTTTTCACAGAGCGTCTGGGGGCTGAGAAGGGATGGCACAGACGGGGGCTGGGTCTTCCACCAAGGCCTTTGGGTGTCCCGTGGCACCACCCTTTCCAAGTGAGAGCTGTTGGCCCTGACAGGCCCTCGCTGAAGGATGGTCAGCCTGTGCCTTCCCCCTGTAAACATCCCCCCCCCCCCAGCTTGGCCTGGTGCACATACCTCCTCAGCCAATGTGTGCTGCACGAACGAGTTACACAGCCAAACCCACGCACTGCCATCGAGTCAATGCCGACTCAGCAACCCTGCAAGGCAGGTAGAACGGCCCCTGGGAGGGCCCAGACTAACTCTGCCGGGGTAGAAAGCCCAGCCTTTCTCTGGCAGAGAGGCTGCTGGTTTCCCACTGCTGAGCTTGAAGTTCGCAGGCCAACACGTAGCCACTACAGCCCGACGGGCGCCTGTGAGTTAGAAGTAAAGAAAAGGGGACAAGGGTCTGAGAGGCAGAAATAATCTGGAATAAACTCGGGCCCCTCCACTCATCAGCTGATGAATTTGGGTAAAATTTAAATGTAAGCCCGTTTCCTTATTGGCAGACCAACCACTTCCCTTAGCGGGTGGCTGTGAATAGAAATTGGCATGATGTAGGCACTCGAGCAATGGCGGCCAGCATTGGTGTGGCCGTTGAATGGATGCAGAGCCTAAGGACAGAGCCGCTCGACACGACGATGTTTCCAACGTTTTAATGCAGCCCCATTGATTCGGCACAGAGCTCTAGACTGGCGATCTGAAGGTGCACTGTCCAGTGGGGGGAGTCAGGACATTATCGACCTCTAGAAGCATTTAAGGGAAGGCAGTGGGAGGCAAAAGCCCATTGCTGCATGGGTTGCTGTATGACGCCTGTTTGGACCCCGAGGCCAGCCCCCAGGAAGACGTGTGTGGCCCCACGTGCGTCTTTACTCCACGATGCGGCGGAAAGACTGCGCAGCCGGGGACGCAGCGCCCCACTCGCTGGGCTTCCGGTACTCCTTCTTGTCCAGGAGGTACTGGCGGCCGCGGTAGTTGGGCAGCTCATAGAGGATCCACGCCCCCTCGAGCACCTTGCAGGAGTGGATCTCCCGCAGGTGGAACTGCTCCAGGATGGAGGGGCAGTCCTGAGTGGTTTCAAACATCTGCCCATTGAAGTCCCCTTTCTCAAAGACCTGGAGTTTAGCCTGGGCGCCGCCGGACTGAAGAAAGGCAGAAAGCAAAAAGCAAAGCGTTATGGAATCCACTGGAAGGTCAAGAACTGAGAGAGCCGAATGGGCCACAACCTACAAATCGAGGCGATGTGAACTCCCCTCCCCATGTGCACTGAGCCATCTGACGTTCCCACTGAGAAATCATTTCACAAAATATTTAAGAGGCAGAGAAAATACTATGGAAATAATTAGCGCTTTTAGTCTTGGGATGAGCTGCTGCAAGATTTCATTCCCACCTCAGTAGCCACCCGAAGAAAGGTACCATTACTGAAAACCACCGCTGCCCCGTAGGGTTCCCAACGTTGGCATCTTTTTAGAAGCAGATGGCCACAGCTCGGTCTCCTGCAGTGGCTGGTGGGTCAGAAATGCTCACCTTTGGGCGAGTCGTTGAGGGCTTTAAACTGTGCCACCTGGACTCCGTGGGCACACATTAAGGCTTGGGAAACCTTAAGAGAACCCTTTCATGGAAAATGAAGAAGGAAAAATGAAGAGAAGGGGGTTGGAGGGAGACTGCCACCCCCACTCACCAGGTGAACCGCCCTGCAGGAGCTGAGGCGGTCGTTGATGCCCATCCAATGCTGGTATTCCGGGTACTCGCCCCGAGGTAAGATGTACATGTGCCCGGCAAAGTTGGGCCTTTCGTACACCACCCAGGTGCCTCCTTCTACTCGAATGGAGTGGCAATGGTTCAGGTAGGTGTGGAAATCCGCACAGTCGCCGTCGCAGGCATAGTGGCGACCTTGGAAGTTTTTCTCTTCGTAGAAAGTGACCTGACGGAAGGGCAAGTGAAGAGCAGATGAAAACCAACGTTGGGCAGAGACTTCCCTGTGGAAATGGCTTTCTTCTCTGGAAAAGAAGGAGCCGTCATTAGACCTCACACCTGGAGCCTTGGCGGGGTAGTGGTCCTGAGTCTGGCTGCTAACCCTCAAGGCCAGCAGTTTGAATCCCCAGCCAGTCCACAGGAGAAAGATGGGCTTTCTATTCCCGTAAAGAGTTAGTCTTGGAAGCTCACGGGGGCAGTTCTACCCTGTCCTATAAGGTCGCTATGAGTAAGAATCTACTCAATCACAGGAATTTGTTTGTTTATACACCTCATCCCAGAACAATACTTGTTTTCTCAAAGACAACGTCAGTTCTCAATATGCCTTAGTGCTTTCTGAGGGCTTAAAGCCAAACAGAAGAGTGTGCGGACAGAAGCAGCAACTGCCAACTCAAGTCCTTTGCCGCCTCTTTCCTGTTTCCACGGCGCTCTATACTTAACATAATATATTACAAATCTATGTCCTATCTCTTCCACCAGATTTCTTCTAAAGGCAAGGACTGAGCCTTCTTCAGCGATGGGTCCCCTGCGAGTGCTCACCGGGCCCTTAAGTCCTCGATGAAGATGAAATTTGTTCCAGGTGTAGAAATCCATGCAAGGTGAGATGGAAAATAGAGAAGACTAAAACACAGACTTTACAAGGCTTACTGTAACCTAATATAGAGCAAACACACGTGAAAATGTAATATGTTCTGTATTATGACTACTGCCAGCATGAGTAGTTGCAAAGAATCAAAAGGACAAGAGCATGAACATTCTTTGTTTCAAACGCTTATTATTCTTTCTCAAGTTTCTATCACAACCCCTCTGGGACCAGTGAAGGTGGCAAAAAAAACGAGAGCTGCTTCTCCACACCCGCCCTCCTCCCTCCGCCAAGTCCCTTGCCAGGTGTCAGCAGCCCATTTGCAAAATGAAAGGGCTGAACTAGGGTAGAAGCCAAGGCGTGGCCGTGAAAGGAACAAAGCCCAGAGCTTTTCTGGTGGAGACAGGGGATGCGTTCCCAGGATCACCTAGGGCTTTATGGAGCAATTTCTGGAAACAGCTAGACCAAAGGCTCTGGAGTCTGTCCCTCCACGCTCCGCAGTCCCACAGTCCGCCATCGTGTTAGCTTGCCCTGTAAACTAAACGGTCATTTTCCTGGCATTATGCTGCCACCTTGTGGCTAGTTTGTTTTATTGGTTTTAAAAGGTGAAAACATGAGTCTTTTAAACTTTTTTTTTTTTAAGTATACAAGGGTGGGAAGAGCTAATATCAAGGAGTTTAAGAAGGAAAAGAATGTTTTGAAACTGATTGTGGTAGCCATTGTACAATACTGCTTGATGTGATTGCACTATAGAATGATATCGTATGTGCACCAACACCCAATAAAATAGTCTTGAAAAAAGGAAAATAGAAATCAAATCATATATTTCAGATTGGGCAAATCTACTCCAAAAGCTTTCTTGAAAGTATTAAAGGACAAGATGTCCTTTTGACGACTAAGATGCGCCTGATCCAAGCCACATTCTCAATTACCTTAGAAGCATGTCAAAGCGAAACAGTGCGTCAAGAATACCACAGAAACTTTTTAAAAATAGACACATGCATACCCAAACCAAACCCCCTGCCAACAAGTCAAGTCGATTCCAACTGACACGAGTCATTTCTGACCGGGGGAGTGGAGTCTGGTAAAGCGTCCGGAAGGAATCGCTAAGCTGAGAAGTGAGGGATACGGAAGGGGCCACTGTGGTAAAGAGCTGGGCTGCTAACTCACAGATCCGGGGTTTGAGCCCACCAGCCCCTTCATGGGAGACGGCATTGGCAGTCTGCTTCCAGACACAGTTAGAGCCCTGGGGACGCTGTGGGGCAGTTCTGACCTGGTTTACAGGGTTGTTGGAATTGACTTGCTGACAGTGAGTCCCTTTGGTTGAAGGATTTCAAAAGGCAAAGGGAAAGGAAGGACAAGCTTGATCAAAAGAAGAAAGGAATGAAAGGACATGGCCCACCAGAGGGTGATAAAGTGTTTGCGAAATTCATTAAGACCTGTGCTTTGGGGGCATGTGGTGACACACAGGGGACAGAAAAGTGACACAGGAGCCACGCTGAATCCCTGTGGTGATTGTGTGAGTGGCACAATGAAGTGGCGTGGGCCTGTCAACATGGGGTGCAGTGGTCCAGGTGGGGCTGCCGAGGTCCACCTGAAGGCAAGGTCAACGGGAATCACGTCGGGAATGAAACTGAGGATTTGATGACTAATCGCAGGCGGAGCCAAGAAAGCCCACAAAAGGGCATGCGTCTCATTCCCCTCTACCCAAGTTGGTTCATTCGGAGTAGTAATATATTAACAATTACTTCCTTCCCCTTCCCCATTTCTCTTAACCCTTCCACTTCCTATTCCCTAAAAGCGTCCTCATCTATGTTAGTTCCTTGTTAACACACACACCATTTCTCTACCTTTTCCAGCTTCTATCTTAGCCTTCCCCTTGCCACGGCGGTTGGGCCAATTCCAGCTCAGAGCGACCCTATAGGATTCCACAGATCTATCTGCCCCAGAGGGTGTCTCAGGCTGTCAATCTTTCTGGAACCTGACTGGCACATCATTTCCTGCAAAGCAGCTAGTGGATTCAAGCTATGGACCTGTTGGTTATGAGTCAGCGCTTCATCATTGCACCATTGGGGCTTCTCATCCTAATGCAAGGCGTATTGAGAGACACAGTATCCCTTGCGGAGAGGGAAAAAGGAATTGCTTGAATGAAGGGGATATGGAGGATTTAATTCACCTTCCTAGTCCACCCATCTTGGTCATCTAAAACATCAGGAGTTGAGGCTTAATTTCACAAAACCTTCTTAAATGCACACCAAAGTGTTCCAGTCTACCTGATCCACTTATCACTATGTCCTCTTCCTGTAGAGAAACAGAATTTCTGCTACTGAACGAGCAGACACTGACATGATATTTACATGTTATTTGATTATTAGCATAGCAAAACACAAAGCTAAACTATTAATAAAGTGTTGGGAAACCCTGTAAAAAAAAATATAAAGTACCAAACCTTTCCTTTTAACCCCCGTTTATTCTAACGATTATCATACTCACTAGGCAAAGAGGCAAGATCTTTTCTCCTGGCAGAGCAGGAGGGGAAAAGAAAGCAGTCTAACCATTTACTCACCTTGGTTCCAGTTTTAGACATTTTTGGCACGTAGATTGGCTTCCCTGGTGCAGAAGGCAAGCCAGGAATCGCTGCCGAGAGTTAGCGGTCTGGAGACAACATTTATAACGGGCTGGTTTCAAATCAAACATTTGCTTGGTCATGAGAATTGGATCCAAAAATTGAGTCAGTCATTTGGAGGCTATTGATGGTTTCTAGAAAAACAATTGGGATTTTGAAATAAAGGCAGGCTTCAGTACCCCCTGTAATGCTTACCAAGCTTTTCTGCACTGCACTTTGCTGACTCAACACATCAACACCCAGCCAACGTTTTGAAAATTAAAAGCACAAAAGTCCCACTTCCCAGGGCAGTTTTCTCATTCACTAAGCTGCCCCTCTGAGAGCTCTCATCTTTCTGCCCTTTAACAAAGCTCATAGGAAGCAGGAGTCAAAAGATCACTGATCATTCTCGATGTAGAACAGAAGTGACAGGTTCCAAACACCACTCAACCTGCCTGTTAGGGGCTGAATTGTGTCTCCCCAAAGAGGCAGACTGGAGTCTTAACTCCCACTACCTGCGAACGAACGTGGCCTATTTGGAAACAGGTGTGATCAGTTAGGTTAAATCAGAAGTCACACTGGAGGACGCTTGCCCTAATCCAGCTGGTATCCTTATCAAAAGACACGGAGCAACTAACACAGTGGGAGGGCAGTCAGGTGAGGACAGAGGCAGAGATTGAAGTCAAGCAGCCAGAGCATAGGAATGAAGACCCGGGCCGGGAGAAGTCAGGAGGCAAGGACAACTCTTCCCTTAAGTAAGGCCTTCCGGGTAAGCGTGACTCTGCCCATAACCTGAATTCATACGTACAGGTCCCAGAACTAGGAGCCCTAGTGGCAAAGTGGATACTTGTTGGGTTGCTAACTGCAAGGTCAGCAGTATGAAACCACCAGCTGATCCTCGGGAGAGAGGTGAAGCTTTCTACTCCCATGGGAGTTAGTCTTGGAAATTCATAGCCAGTTTTGGCCTGTCCTATAGGGTCACTGAGATGCCAGTGGGTGTGGTTTGGGTTTTAGCTCGCAGAGCTATGAGAGTAAACTACTGTTGTTTTAAGCCACCCAATTTATAGTACTCTATCAGCATCTATAGACAACTGAGAACATGACAACAAAGGGCATTTGGGGGATGATTTGTAGAACTGTTCACAGGGACTGTATGTAACTCTGGATAGTTGTGTTGTTGAAGTTGGCTGCAGTGGAGCGGGTGTGGACTCAAGGCTACCTTCAGACGACCAGACTACAGAGCCTGGTGCCGCATGACCCTCACCGCGGTCGACTGTGTTGGAGTCCATTGTGACAGCTATTAACGGGAAGCTTCCTGAATTTGATTGGCTGTCCTATGATCGAATAAGACAATGTCATTGTTTCTAGACACGCGATAACATGTTTAAAAGTCCATGTCTACCACCTACTCTCAAGTTGCTGCACAAAAAAATAAAGCACTACGTTGTTCACCCACATTGGGTTGGTCCTTGCCTCCTAACTACGCCCCAGTCCCACATCAGACTGTTAGGATCTAGAGGGGTTACTGGATGGTTTTTTGAAGTAGAGCATGGCAGGACTTCTTCCTACTCTTGTAGCCTGGCTGTGCCTCTGAATCTGTTCAGCACAATGATATGCAGGCCTTCATTGACAGGTAGTGGCCAGCACAGGTAACTGCAGTGCACTGGCCAGAAGGAATTGAAGCGGTCTCTTGAGTGAAAGGGAGAACTCTGAGCCACTACGGGCCCTAATACTCACTGCCATTGAGTTCATGCTGACACATACTGACCCTATAGGACAGTGTAGGACTGCCCCTGTGAGTTCCTGAGATCATAACTTTACTGGCATAGAAAGCCTCGTCTTTCTCCATCCCAGCGACTAGTGGTTTCAAACTAGTTGGGTTAGCAGCCCAACGCATAACCACTAAACCCCTAATATTAGAGAGTTATAAAGTAAATGTGTCAAAATGTGAACTACTGGATTTAGACAGATGAGAGTTCATTGTCTTGAGTCTTGCAAACATTGTAGAACTTTGACTTTTTTTTTTCCAAGACAAAATTTTAAAGAGGGTTCTAAACCACAAGAAAGGCCACCACTGTATGTAGCCCAGGAGATGGAACTGTAGACTGCTGGGCACTAACCAAAAGGGTGCCAGCTCGAACCCACCAACTGCTCCAAGAAAGACTTGGTGGTCTGCTTCTGTAAGATTCCAGCCTAAGAAACCCCACAGGGTCATTGAGCCCAAACTGACTCTCCAGCACCGGGCCTTAGATGTATCTGTGGATGTAATCCCGTTCGGGAGCAGGGGAACAGGGTATCTTTTAAGTATGTCGTGAAGTCACACCAGTGTGGGGTGCATCACTTCTAGACGTGAAGGGAACAAATGAGGAACAGAGAGGCTGGCACACTTGGTGGGGGAGACACGTGCCCTGTGGAGATCCCCAGAGTCAATGAGTGCCAGGCCTACAGAAGGTAAATCAGCTCTTCCTCCTGACCCAGCAGAGAACGCGAGCCTTCCCCGAGAGCTGGTGCCCCGAATTTGGACCTCCAGTGTGCGAAACGGTGAGAAAATAATCGTATTCTTTAAAGCCCCCATTGTGGTATTTGTTGTAGCACCACCAGAACACTAAGACACAAAGTCAAAGAAGAGCAAATCCATCTTTTCCATGAACATTTTCATGGTCAAGTGTATTCTTCTCAAGTGTCCAGCTTCATCTTTCCACTAACAATGCTCTTCAACAAAAATTTATAAATAGGATATCCCCATGATGGTGGACATTCACAAAATGTCAAATATGTCTTGATGTGAATGAACCGATTACTGGGAAGAAAAGTGTTGTTATATGCTTAGTTTTCTGAACATTGTTTTTTTTTTAAGTGCCTAGTTAATATTTTGTGTATTGCAGACTTTATATGTTTTTTTTATTAAATACTTTTAAAAACGTTTTTTGAGGGCTCTTACAGCTCTTATCATAATCCATACATTCATCCATTGATTTCATTAACCATTAGCAATTAAAAACAAACAAAAACATTTCCATTATTGTTTATTTGGTAACGCTCTTTGCTTGCTTGAATTTCATCTTGAAATAAAAACTAAGAAGGTCTGAATTAGAATGAACAAACACATTTTGAAGATTCATTCTCTCTGTGGAAACAAACCAGAAAGTCATTTGTCACCATCATGGCTAATTCAGTGATTGGTGAGCAGATGAGACAGTGCGCATCAGCAGTCAGATTCATTTTAATATTTTCATAGTTTTTTTTTATATTAACAAGGCTTTCCCAACAAAATATGAGCTTTATTGCAGTATTGACTTCAAGAATGATGTTGGAAACCTTTTATAAAATTAAAAGTAAAGCTTTATCTTCTATCAAAAGGAGAAAATGACCTTTTTTTAGAGTTTATTGAAGTTTGAAGCAGACAACTTGAAAAATTCTTACGCAATTTTGTTATGCTTCATACTTTAATGGCTAGAATATCTATATAAAACTATTTCTGCTATATTTATACACCAACAGATTATATTTTCATTCCAATATTTTTAAAGCAGTAGCAATTACCTTTTAAATAGTTATTTAAAAACTATAAAATTCTTATTTAGCTCTCAAAAGGATGAAACTATCAAACACATTCAATCTGTATCACTGGCAAATCTATACCCAGTCACTTAGTGTTAATACATATACAGCGTGATGCCTTCACCGACTTCTTCATGCTGGTTTTATAAGAGAACCCTTCAAATGCCCATCTTCCATTCATCCTCATGTTTACAAGGCCCTGAAGATAACACAATAAAAATGAATATTAATAATTTAGTTTTCTTTTGGCTTCATTCAAACACTAAGGAAAAAATTGAGTTGACAAAGTCACACCCATCAAGGTTAGATAACAGTTCACAATGATAAAATGCATAACGTTTAAAGCTAATCTCATTCCTTTTCCTTAGTGCCCATCAGTTCAATATAAGCAATACGGGTCCATCTAAACTAAACTCTTACGCCCTTCCAGCTTCCAGTTCCTTTGTATAATCTCCATCACATGTCTAATTCTTAATATCAGCATTTATTAACTAATTTTTTTAAAAATTTAATATTTGTTTAAAAATACATATTTTTAAAGTGTACATCTGCACAGTAAGTAATAAAGAACGTTTCTGTGGCTCTGGAAAACAGCCTGCAGCCCCTCAAAGAGTTAGACCTGAAGTTCCCACGTACACTTGCACGTCTACTCCTAAGCAGAGTGAAACTTACAAATGCTAGACCTGTATCATGATTCAGGGACAGTACATCTTGTAGTGGGGAAGAAGCAAAAAAGACAATTTTTTTTCTTTTAAAAATCATTTTATTGGGGGTTTGTACAATTCTTATCACAATCCACACATACATTCACTGTGTCAAGCACATGTGTACATTTGTTGCCATCATCATTCTCAAAACATTTGCTTTCTACTTGAGCCCTTGGTATCAGCTCCTCATTTTCCCCCTCCCTCCCGACCCCCTCCCTCACAAACCCTTGGTAATTTATAAATTATTATTTTGTTATGACAAAAGGCAAAATTTGAAGCTTATATTTGACCATAATTCTAAGGGTTCCGCTTGAAAACTCTGGGTGGTCTTTTCACTATAAAATGTGGAGAGAATAGGTATGCATATGTCATGTGCTGGTAGGAGTTGTACAGGAAAATTGGCAATGGTTAATGTTGTGGGTTGACGTGTATCCCCCCCCAAAAGACATGTCCAAGTCCTAAGCCCTGGTACCTATGAATCCAATTGTATTTGGAAATAGGGCCTTTGCAGATATGGTCAAGTTAAAGTACAGTCAGACTGGATTAGAGTGCTCCCGCTCCAATGACTGGTATCCACCTACGAAGGACACTCTGACCCAGACACAGGCACACAGGGGAGAAAGGGTTGAGAATAGAGAGGCAGTGATTAGTGTGATGCTGGAAGGGAGGCCTGGAATAGATTCTCCCTCAGAACTACAGGAAGAAGCAAACCTGTGGACCTGGATGTCACACTTTCAGCTTCCAGAGCTGTGAAAGGGTAGCTTTCTGTTGTTTTAAACCATACCCAGTGTTTGATGGTGCGTTATGGCAGCCACAGATAAATAACACACTTAGTCACAGAAGATTTTGTGCACTTTTGAGTTTGTTCAGAATGTTTCCCAAAGTGACACGTTTTTCCGTGTCTGCATTGTAAATGCCTACCTGCCCTGCGTTCCGATGGAGGCGTGCTATCCCGCTGCTTGTTTGGAGCCTGCTGCGGGGGGCACGAGGCTGTCGAGCTGCTGGCGATGCCCTGTGTTAATCAACCACTCATAGAACTTGTTCTCCACCAGGACCTGGAACTGCTTCCTCTGATCCCTACAATTGCCATCGAGAACAAAAAGAATGGGAGAATACCAATTCACATAAATTTTACTAGAAGCCAGCCATTATAAAATGTTTTTGAAATAACATTAAATGATTCATGATTCCTAGTTATCATTTCTTTGTTTCAAATACTTTCTCAGTGTAGAGGCCATTGGGCCACTACTGAAACAGTAACAACAACCAAGCTTGTAAAGATGCACCGTCAGTCGTCATATTCTGTTTTATGGCGGTGATTCACTCAACAGAGATTTATTGGGGACCAGCTGTCTTCCAGGTAGGGTCCTGACTGGGAGAGAGAAAAGAGAGACAAAGGCTTTTTCTAGGCAGGTTGCAATGCACAACTCCACAAGGCCCCAGCCACAGTAGGGTCCACCTTGTCTACACCCCTTGTGACGCTTATATTCTAGTAGGGAAGACAAGTAATAGGAAAAGTAACTTATATGTGCCTTGGGGAGAAAAAAAATGAAGCAGAATAAGGAATATATGAATGGAGATTACTGGAAATGAAACTTTTGGAAAAAATGGGCAGAGAAGTTGTCTATGAGACACTATGAGAACAAAGGTCTGAATGAAGTGCTGGATTAAACACAGTGAGTGACTGGAAAAGACCATTTAGGGAGAGGCTCAAAAGTCAGAGCATCCCAGCAAGTTCAAGGTCAGAAGAGTCGCTCCTGGCAGCTGGGAGCTGAGCTGGCTCTTCACTGTCAGCTAGGCCGTCGGGTAGCTGGGAACTGGCCTGGCCGGGGTGGTCTGCTGAGCATCAACAACTCCACAGAGCAAGTACCACTCTGTGATCGTAACAAATGAAGACAAGAACAAGATTACTGCATAAGTGAGTCTCAGTCCAGAAGAAAACCAAGGACATTTTGTGGTCCGAACCACACACATGGCTAACCCTACTCTTTCCTGGCTGAGTGACAGCTGCTTCTGTATGCACAATGTTAGCCCCATTGCATTCCCTGACTTTGAGATAACAAGCGTTTTTTTTTCTTCAAAGGAAGTATATATTTATCTGCTTTGTAAGTGGCAATTTTAATAGCAAGCATCAGTCATATGATTACAAGTAGTCATTCAGTAAAACCATTTATTGTACACCCCTAGTATACAGATGTTTATAAATACCATTTGAATTAACTAAATCTAAGCACTCATATTTATAAATATTCCCAGTTAACACACATTAACCTAAGACGGTTTAGCACACATTAAGAAAACTAGGGGTTTCCCCTCCCTGTTTAAATGGCTGTAAGACTGTTTAGTGTTACCAATGTAATGCCTTCTGAGTAAAATAATTATTTTTTTAAATCTTTTACACCAGCATTTTATTTTTTTTTTTGAGATTTTTTTTTCCATTTTATTGAGGGCTCGTACAATTCTTATCACAATCCATACATACATTCATTGCGTCAAGCACATATGTACATTCGCTGCCCTCATCATTCTCAAAACATTTGCCTTCTACTTTAGCCCTTAATATCAGCTGCTCATTTCCCCCCTCCCCACTCCCCCGCCATGAACCCTTCATAATTCATAAATTATTATTGTTTTATCATAAGTTACACTGTCCAACGTCTCGCCCCACCCTCTTCTCTGCTACCCATCCCTCAGGAAGGAGGCTATACGTAGATTCTTGTAATCGGTTCCCCCTTTCTACCCCACATTCCCTCCACCCTCCAGGCATCGCCCCCCTCGTCCCTGGTCCTGAAGGAGTCACCTGTCCTGGATTCTCTGTGTTTCCAGTTGCTATCTGTACCAATGTACATCCTCTGGTCTAGGCGGATTTGTAAGGTAGAATTGGGATCATGATAGTGGGGGGGGAGAAAGCATTTAAGAACTAGAGGAATGATATGTTTCATCGTTGCTACCCTGCACCCTGACTGGTTCATCTCCTTCCCACAACCCTTCAGTAAGGGGGTGTCCAGTTGCCTACCGATGGGCTTTGAGTCTCCACTCTGCACTCAGCCACCTTTACAATGATATGATTTTTTGTTCTTTGATGCTTGATACCTGATCCCTTCGACCGCTCGTGGTCACACAGGCTGGTGTGCTTCTTCCATGTGGGCTTTGGTGCTTCTGAGCTAGTTGGCCGCTTGTTTATCTTCAATCCTTTAACACCCCAGACGCTATATCTTTTGATAGCCGAGCACCATCAGCTTTCTTCACCACATTTGCTTATGCACACGTTTGTCTTCAGTGATCATATCAGGAAGATGGGATGTGGTTTTTTTCGTTTTGTTTTCAATCGCTTTATTAGGGGCTCATACGACTCTTATCACAATCCATACATACATGAATTGTATAAAGCACATTTGTATATTCATTGCCCTCATCATTCTCAAACCATCCACTCTCCACCCAAGCCCCTGGCATCAGCTCCTTTTTCCTCTCCCTCCCCGCTCCCCCCTCCCGTGTTTTTAAGATATGAAATCACATAGAGTTACCTTCACTCCTTCACTCCTGGGTGACATCCAATGCAGTAAGACCTCGCTCCCCACAGCCCTTCCTACAGTCAACTAACACAAGCCAAAATGCAATCCACCCCTTTCAGAGGTGAAACACAGTCCCACAGACTCCCCAACCCCTTGCTGAGATGAACCCCAGTTCTCTCCTTCCCTGCACTAAGATCAACAAAACCCAACTTGGTTCAGCAGCAAGGAGGCTATGCAGCAGGAGTGGCATGAAGGAGGGAAAGAAGGAGTGGACAGGCACAGGAAAGACTTTGGCTTCTATTCCAAGTCTGAAGGTTCAGCCGGGACAAAGTCATGATCTCATCATCTTTAAATGATCATTCTGGTGGCTTGTGTTTTCAAGCTGAGCAATCACTCTGTCATCTTCCTATTTTCCCAAAGTGGGCTGGGCTGCTTTCATTGTTTCTGGTGTCATTATGGAGCTGTTTGAAAAGGCTATGAGAGGGAGTTGCCATTCGCCAAGTACTTACCTCATTCCACCTTCTGCACCTGCTTGTGTGTGTTTGTCTGTGTGTATATAGGCTTTTCACAAGCCCAAGAGAAGTTAGCATCTAAATATCAGGAGCATTCAAAAAATAGAATTGTTTTTAAACGATGTTTATTCAATCATGGTCTATTTTTAAATCACATGGTTGTAAAGAACTATGAGGGGGCTTAAAAAATCCCAGGGAAAATGGAATGAAAAGATAATGGAATTTATTCACAAAAGCCCTTTTCGAAGGCCTTATGAACAATAGTTCAGAGAGAACAATAGGCATTGGAGGCTTCAGAGTCCCAGCCAGGGAACTAGGCTGACTAGGTGTGACTCCTAGTTCCGTTGTGACTCTGAGCAAGGTCATCTCCCAGTTTCCTCATCTGTCGTAGAGGACTGTTACAAAGAATGAGAGGATGCATAGAAACGTGGCACAGAGAACATGCTCCATGCATGTAACCTGTTACTGCTGTCATCATCATCACTACATGACGGGAGACTGCTTTGTTGTATTAGCATCTTGGGTGACTCCATTCATGAGATACAGATCAGTTCAAATGCTGTGATAGTGGACTCCCAGCAAAAGTACACACTGTGATTATTATTCATCTTTGTGTGTTTTGACAGGTAACAACTGTCTTTGTTAGAGTCTGAGAGCTATGTATATGTATTTCATTTCTTAATCCAGATGATAAAAACCATGAGAATGCACCCTGGCTACATCGAGACTTTTTCAATTACACCATAATCTTAGAATGAAGTTAATCTAACAGGTCAGGTCTCAGATCTTGGAGTGAACAATCTCACTGGGAAGCGGTCTCTCACCCCCACGGCACAGCTCACACCATACGGCACTACACAGTGTCTCATACACAGGGCTATTATGTGCATATGCCGACCGGGCTGAATCTCCACATCGATCTAACAGGGTAGAAAATATATGCTCTATATGATAAAATTAAGAACCAGGGAAGTTAAACAACACACTTAGTGTCACACAGGAAGTGACATGGTCTATATGCATTCCCAAGTGTGAACCTGAGCACTTTCCCGTACCACAGAGATGCTGCTATCCAAAGAATACTACAAAGCTAAGTAAAGTCTAGCAAAACTTAGGGATGCACTTAAAAAGACAGGTGGCAGTCTGGATCATTGGAAATAGAAAAGTTTGGAATGGCTGCAACTTTAAAAGATATAATGACTATGAGGAAAAACAGTGATAGCCTCAGGAACAAGAGCCCTACAAGGACTCCCAACTCCTCTGAAAAGGACCACATGAGAAGATCCTGGGGAGAGCGGGAGAAAGGGTGGTACAAAACCCAAGTCTGATGGTGCCCGGCTATCAAAAGATGTAGTGTCTGTCTGGAGTCTTAAAGGCTTAAAGATAAACAAGCAGCCATCTAGCTGAGCAGCAACAAAGCCCACATGGAAGAAGCACACCAGCCTGTGTGATCACGAGGTGTCGAGGTGTCGATGGGATCAGATATCAGGCATCAAAGGAAAAAAATCACATCATTGTGAATGAGGAGGGAGTGCGAAGTGGGGACCCAAAGCCCATCTGTAGGCAACTGTGCATTCCCGTACAGAAGGGTCACGGGGAGGAGACGAGCCAGTCAGGGTGCAAGGTAGCAATGATGAAACATACAACTTTCCTCTAGTTCTTTAATGCTTCCTCCCCACCCTCCACCCACTATCATGATCCTAAATCTACCTTACAAATCCTGCTAGACTATAGGAACTGGAAACACAGGGAGTCCAGGACAGATGAACCCTTTAGGACCAGTGGTGAGAGTGGCAATACCGGGAGGGTGGAGTGAAGGTGGGGTAGAATGGGGGAACTGATTACATGGATCTACATATAACCTCCCTGGGAGGACAGAAAACAGAAAAGTAGGTGGAAGGAGACGTTGGACTGTGTAAGACATGACAAAATAATACTAATTTATAAATTATCGAGGGTTCATGAGGGGGTAGAGGGAGGGAAGGGAAAAAATGAGGAGCTGATACGGCCCTTAGTCATCCTCTAGATCTCAAAGTAAACTCATCCCGGTTGTTCAATTTGTATCTAAATAATAGATTTATAAAACGAAAGGTAACACTAGGGAAGCACACACTCTTTAGAGCAATCAAGCACACAAGCTCAGAAGGGAGGGCAGCATTTGCCCAAGGCTAAGGTTCAGAAGGGATGAAGGGTTAGAAAAGGGGGAGGAATGTAACCAGGAAACACAGGGAGGAAGTGGGAAGAGTTATATTACATCGTGGGGATTGCAACCAATGATGTCAAACAAAATGTGCATAAGTTGTTGATGGAAACTGACTTGCTCTATAAGCCTTCACCCAATTCACAAGTTAAAAAAAAAAGGCAGGGGAACAGTCTCGAAGTGAGGTTAATGATACTTTCCAGCCAAAAGGACATTATGTTTGGTAAAGCAGACAGTCAGTGAAAAGATGACACTCAACAAGATGGATTAATACAGTGGCTGCAACACTGGCCCCAAAGAAAACAATTCTGAGGATAGTACAGGATTGTCCAGCACTTCTCGGTTACATTGCCCTTGATCCAGCCCTGCCCTCTAGATCTTTAATGTTTCCCCCCTCCCGCCCCACCCCACTATCATGACCCCATTTTTACATTACAAATCTGCCTAGACCAGAGCATGTACATGGGTACAGATAAGAGCTTGAATCACAGCGAATTCCGGATAGATAAACCCCTCAAGACCAATAATGAGAATAGCGATAACAGGAGGGCAGGGCAAGGTGGGGGAGAAAGGGAGAACAGATCACAATGATCTACATATAACCCCTTCCCTTGGGGACAGACAACAGAAAAGTGGATGAAGGGAGACATTGGTTAGTATAGGACATGAAAAAAATTTTTATAAATTATCAAGGGTTCGGGAGGGAGGGGAAAAATGAGAAGCTGCTAACAAGAGCTCAAGTAGAAAGAAAATGTTTTGAAAATGATAATGGCAGCAAATGTACAAATGTGCTTGACACAATGTATGTATTGTGATGAGTTGTATGAGCCTGCAATAAAATGATTTGATAATAATAAAAATAAAAATCTTAGTTTGTTTTCTCATGGGATTTCACACAAAAGACAATGATTTCAGGAAACACTCACTTTGTCAAACGAGCCTCCTTCACAGTTTTCTGCCAGATCTGTATCTTCTGTTCTCTTTGGCCCAGTGCTTTCTGGTAGGCAGATGGAAGGCCCCCAGGTATCTCTGTTGTGTCCCCCTCCATTTCAAAGGGAATAATAAAGACATAGAATTCACATGGTGGTAAGAGCCGGAAGACACTCACGTCGCTGTGGTCTCTGCACACAATCATCGGGTTATCCCAATAGTTAGGCACTGTGGCAAGGCCGGACCTGGCCATATGATCCTCCAGCATTGGGTAATGGGTATGAAAAGGGGCAAAAGTGACAGTCTTGTTGCCGGAGAGAATCAGCGGGCGTGTGGGCGTCAGAATGTGTAAGACACAGCGTGTTGTGGACGAGATGGATGAGCGATGGCAGACAGCAATGACTTTAACATTGTCACAGCTATGAAGATGAAGAGCAGTCTGGACAGGGCCCAAGACAAAGGTACTGTTCCTGCACTTCTCAATGGTCACCGATCTGAAAAATGAAGTAAACACCTCTGAATGAGTTATTTCAACAATATTTGACCAAAATATTATTCTCATAGGCAGAAAAAAAAAGATCAGTCTGAGTACAAAGAAAACGTCAAAATGTCAAGACATGCTGAAGACTGAGCTTACCGCAGAGGAGAAAGCAGGTAGATGAAAGACTCATTGCAACGATGAATCTTTACGTGAGTCCCCACCAGAGTATCTGAGCTCTTAGCCAATGTCTGCTTGTACACCTGGCTCATCACCACCATGCGGTGCATCCTAGGGGCCACATGAGTATTACATGCAATCTTAGCTCGTTTGGTCGTCCCTTCCACTGTTTAAGAAAGCACATAACAAATGAGATGAAGTTTCAAGTCAGTGAAAATCAAGCATATAAGCTTATAGCTGTTTGCATGTCTACAGGTCTACAATCAGATACATGTAAGAGAAAGTTACGCCCAGCTGATGAGTAAAGAAGTGACTCTTCACTGTATGCTGCAATACATCATAATTTCATGATTGGAAGCATATAACCCATTCAAGAGTATCTACAAACTAAATCATGTGCCTAAAGTCATCTGGCTAGTAGGCAGCAGAACTGGCCCAACTCAAGATGCCCTACTTTATCATGCTAACCATAACCTCTCATTTTACTACAAGAGAAACACAGTACTCCTTGCAAGTCACTTGCCACATCACCCAATGAACTCTACATGGGTTCGTGTCTTTTTTCACAGAATCACGAGTAGCTGGGGGCTTGTCTTCCTAGCACACACAGCCTTACTCATACTGATACTCAAGGGGTATGTAGCACAGTCCTACCATTGTGTGACTGGCTTCATTGACTGTACTTCCCTGCAAGCCTTATCGACGCTTGGTATGGAATATGGCTATAATATGGAGAGAAGGTCACCTAAGTTTGCTATTATTCTTTTATTATATAATACATGATCATTGTAAAAAAATTCAAGGATCAACAGTAAAAAAAAAAAGCATTTGTAATACGTTTATCACCGTTCACATTTTTATATAATCCTGAAAGACTGGATCTTCTTATTATCCTACCAGTGCCTATCCTAACAACTATCGAACTCTTACTTGGACCTATACTCCTTTATCACTATCAAGAATGAAATATTTTCAGAATCTTGTTCCCTCTCCCTAGTCTTAGTTTGGAAGCTCCTATGAAACCTTCAACATGCGGGTATTTGAAGTACCAGGAACATAGCTTCTAGGATCATTAAAAAAACAAATTGACTGCCATGGAGGCGAGTCTGACTCACAGTAACTACAGAACAGGGTAAGACTGCCACTGTGGGTTTCCGAGACTGGACCGCTATGGGAATAGAAAGCCTCGTCTTACACTTATGGATTAGCTGGCGGTTTTGAACTGCTAACCTGTAGTTAGCAGCCCAACACATAACCATTACTGACAAGATGATTGGTCAAAGGATCATATAGAATCCCTAAGAATTTTACATATTGAAAGTTTTCACTCACATACTGGTATAGTACTTTAATGGAACAGAGAATTCTTAGATCATAATACTTTCAGTTGCTGAAGATTTTTAAAATATTCTTTATCTGCTTTTTAGAACTATCAAAATTTGGGTAAATCTTTAACACTTCTATGGAACCTATTTTTTCTGTACCTTTGAAATTCAGAGTTGTAGTAGTAGATTCTAGGGCGGCCCCCCCCACCTCATTAACTGTGCCTGGCACTTACCTTAGTGTAGCTACCTGCCAAAATGTGTGCTCTTCTCTCCAAACTTACACAGGGCCCCACACCAGAGCCTACCCCTTTAGCCTTAGCTGGAGAATCAGGAACAGATACCCAGGGCAATCGGGGCCAGTTCTCTCTGCTGTCTATTTAAATTTCCAATTTAGAAGCATCTCGTCTGCTTGTGTCTACACAGCTCGAAGAGCCCTCATCTATACACCAGGGTCTCTGGGGTTGTTACTGTGGGATGGCTCAACTTTGGTCTATTGCCCCGAACACAGGAAAATCTCAAGCAAGTAAGCATGTGGACAGTGAGGACGAGAGGGAGTCGGAGAAGAAGAAAGGGAGGACTCACTGTAGTTGGAGCGTCTATGAACTGCGACTGAAATGGACCTTAACCACCAAATGAACCCCGAGACTGTTCCTGCCTTGAGAGAAAGTCACATACAAAAAGATACTGTCTTTTTTTAAAGTAGAAACTATGCACACACATATTTTTAGATTACAACGATGTGTGAATATCAATACACCAAAAAGCAATGAGCTCCTTAACTTGTGATTCAATTTAATATGCATTAAAAACTTTGAAAAATACCTTGGTGAGCCCAAGCCAATTTCTTGCCAGACTTGAGACACGCAGATGTACCAAACGGATTCCCAGTCAAGCAGGCTTTCAGCCAGGCTTCCAGCTTGTAGAAGGGGAAGGTCTTCGAGACCTTTGAGAAGCCGTTTTGGGCGTGCAGGGGCTGCCACAGCGCCAGCTCGTGGAGCGGATAGATCTTCCTGGCTCTGCTCACTGTGCCTTCGATTAGAAAGCTGAGTGCCACCACGGCTTCTCGAGAGATCAGGCTACTGCGGGTCGGATGAAAGGATGCAGGGAGTTGTTCTGGCTCTAAAAGCAGCTCAAGGAGCTCTGACAGGTGATCACAGACAAAAGCCTGGTGACTGTAATCATTCCAGTTCTGGAAAAAATCAAAAGAAAGGACTCAGCAGAACCAAGAGAATGTACTAGATCTGAAGCTGGTGTGCGTTACCTATTCTGTATTATACTGGATGTCTTTAAAAAAGCATTCAAGATAACTACTTTAATCTGATCGTTTGGGGGAAATTTTTTGTTTTTATTGTAATAAGTATATACAGACTACCTCTCCACCTTAGCTAGTTGTCAAGTAATACTAGCAACCCCCTCTGGGTTTCTGAGACTGTAAGCCCAGGCTTTCTCTTGCAGAGCAGCGGGTGGTTAGGTAACCCTTAGTGTCGTGGTTCTCAACCTTCCTGATGCCGTGACCCTTTCATACAGTTCCTCATGTTGTGGTGACCCCCCAACCATACAACTATTTTCTATGCTACTTCATAACTGTCATTTTCCTACTGTTATGAATCGGGAGACCCCTGTGAAAGGGGTCGTGACCCACAGGTTAAGAACCACTGCCTTACTGTATCAAGTACTAAATGTTGTATATACTTTTCTATAGAGCTTAGAGCAATCCTAAACAGAGTTCATTGTCATCCTCATTTTATGTAGAAAAGGAGATACTCAATTTACAAAGCACTAGGCATCTTTGCCTTCTAAAATTAAAGGAGGAATTTGACTGGTTGAAACAAGGCAACTGACCTTATAGTGATTCGATTTAAGAGAAATCCTAACTTTAGGAAAAACTTTCATTCACTTGAGAGCTATTTTTGAGGGATCCTATGTGGTATATACGAGAAGGAGGAAATATTTAGCCTTGGAAACCCGAGAGCAGTTCTACTCTGCCCTGCAAGGTCGTTACGGGTTAGAGTTGACTTGGCAGCCGTAGATCTGGTTCTTTGGGAATGCGACATGAGCAGTGTCAGGTCAGGTAGTACATGTGCAGATTGAATGAGTCATGGTTCTTGTTCTCAAAAAGCTGTCAACTTAAAAAAAGAAGAAACTGTCGACTTGTCAGGGCGGGTGGGATGTGGTGGAGTACAAACAATTAAGGATAACACAATGAGATAAGAGACATAGCGAGACTGGTAGATGCTCTGTGTACATGAGAGGGTATCTAACCCCACCAATAAAATAAATCAATAAAGCTTCATATTTAGGGGGTGTTTGTGCAGATTCTCCATTGATGTTGGTAGTTATGGCCACGAAAAAGGAGGGGAAAGCATTCTTGGCAGAGAGAACAGCAATATGCAAGGACAAATGTGCATCCAGTGAACTGGGCTTTAGAGGCCCAGAGTGGTGCAAATGTTTGACACGCTCGGCTGCTAGTCAAGAGGATGGAAGTGTGAGTCTATCAAGAGATGTCTCAGATGAACACCTGAAGGTCTACTGCTAAAAACCAGCCATCGGAGGACTCTGAAGCAGAACCCGAGGGGTGTTCCGCATGAAATATAATGAAGGGCAGATTCATTAAAACAACAACAGCTCACTGCCATGGAGTCCATGCTGACTCATAGTGACGCCCTGTGCGTTTCTGAGACTGTAACTGTTTACAAGAGTAGAAAGTCCAGTCTGTCTTTCTCCAGCGGAGCTGCTGGTGGTTTTGAACTGCCAGCCAGATGGATCGCAGCCTAACTCGTAACCGCTATACCACCAGGGCTCCTATTTATTAAAAAGGAGGTTATAAAGGTGCTCAATAATGACGACGAAGAGCTTGCACATGACACTAAGGCTTGGAGCTATCTTTTACTTAAGTTTTCTCAAAACATCTTCAGAAAAAAGGTTTGTTTTTAATGAAGGAAGGAAGCAATAAGATATGTTCCAAAAGTCACAGTGTGAAGCCATTAAATTTAGCTACTAGGTTGTCACAATATATATTATTAAGCAAGCAAGAGACGAAACTATGAAAAGATAGTTTCATAGAAATCTTTTTCAACAGACCTTGTAAGTACTCCATCCTCTCCTTTGCCCTATCATGTTAAATAAGCAGATTCAAATGTACTATTACTTAGGGAAATGGGAATGCTAGCAAGAGGGACCTGATGTTAATGAAGGAACTGAAATCACTGATCAGATCACACATTTGTTTTCTAATGGGGGTGGGGTGGTGGTAAAGAATAAAAAGGAAAAGTCACTAAATCAACTTGTATAAAGAACCCAAGATAGTTTTTGATGACGATGAATCATCTGACTATTTAAATGGTACCTTATGACAAGTGGATTTTTCAGTCACGTCAGGAGACTGAGAACGGGTTCTGGGAGTGGGCCACTCTTCCCCAATCAGCGATGTCCTCAGGGAGACCTTGTTTAACTGCTGTATGTACAAGAAGAGCAGAAACTGCAGGGTGTCCACGGAGAGCTGTGCAAGAAGGAAGTAAATTATCAGCACGTCTTGAAACTGCAATATCTACACCACACTTCTATACAGAGCTCAAGAAAATGTATATACGTTTTTTCACAGCATTTTTAAATCACAGCCATCAACCCAAAACAAAACCCACTGCTAATGAACCGATTGTGACTCACTGCAGGCCTATAGGACAGAGTCGTACTCCCTAGGGCAGTGGTTCTCAATCTGTGGGTCAAGACCCCTTTGGGGGTCAAATGACCCTTTCACAGGGGTTGCCCTATTCATAACAGTAGCAAAATGACAGTGATGAAGTAGAAACAAAAATAATGTTACGGTTGGGGGGTCACCACAACATGAGGAACTATATTAAAGGGTGGCGGCATTCAGAAAGTTGAGAACCACTGCTCTAGGGTTTCTAAGGCTGTACATCTTCACGGGAGCTGACAGCCACTTTTTAAACTGCCAGCCAGTCAGCTAGCCTTTCAACACCAACTCCTGAGATTGTATTCACATTGTTTTGGAGTATGTGCATTTTGTGACAAAGGTCTCAGACTTCCACCAAATTCTCTAAGGGTGCTTAACTAAAAACAAATACTTTCTGGTCTGATAGATGCTTAGAAATAATTTCTTATTTGATGGGCGCAGTTTCAAGCACATGATTATCCTCATATACCCTTTCCCCATACACAAACCAAAACCAAACTCCTTGCCACTGAGCCAGTGACAACTCACAGTGACCCTGACAGGAATGTGGACTTGCCTCTGTGGGTGTGCAAGGCTGCAAATCTTTATGGGGGCAAGAAGCTTCATCTTTCTCCCCATGCACGTACAGGAGAGGCAAAAGACAATACGTCTGGTCTACTGTTGAAGATTTCAGAAAGTCTACCGTCCTACAGAGAAATGAGGCTGGATTTATTGATTCTACCGGACTGAAAAGCACTATCACCTATGGAACTTTTAACAGATGCTCAGGAGCTGCCCCAGATTTACCCGATCACCTGTGAATGTAATACCCTCATGAAGCCGGACTTTTTAATTTCGATTTTCTTAATTTTTGAGGAACCTAATGAAGATCCTATGTAACCTTTTGCAGTTGTCCAATTTGCAAAACTATCATACTCCCAGAGTATCACACAGAGGATATTGATAGTTAAGACTCAAATTTTCCATCAACACAGGGACCCCAGATATTGCCCTTTTACAGCCACACTCACTTTCCCCCACCCCTCTCTCTCCTTCAGGCTTGGCAGCAACCACTTATCTGCCTGCCGTCTCCAGAGCTTGTCATCAAGACTGCTCTTCCCTAAATGGAATCCTACAGCATGGAACCTTTGGGGACTGCCTTTCTCGCTGGCAGAACTCTCTGGAGACTCATCAAGTTGCTGTATGCGTCAGTAGCTCATTCTTTTTGTTGCTGAATACTATTCCGTGACATGGATGTGCCAAGGCTTGTTTAACCATTTACCGCTCGCTGAAGGACACCTAGGGTGCATCCATTTTGGGGCTATTAGAATAAAGCCACTAAACAAAAAAATCATGTGGAAAAAAAAAACTCTTCATGTAAACATAAATTTTCCTTTCTCTGGGACAATCCCCAAGAATATAATTGTTGGGTACAGTAGTCCCAAGCTGAGACTGTTAGGAAACAAGACAAAATGTTTCCTTTTTTATTTTTAAATCATTTTATTGGGGGCTCATACAACTCTTATCACAATCCATACATGCATCCATTGTGTCAAGCACATTTGTACATTTGTTGCCATCAGCATTTTCAAAACATTTTCTTTCTACTTGAGCCCTCCCTTCCCCACCCTCCCTCCTTCATGAACTCTTGATAATTTATGGATTATTTTTTCATGTCTTACACTGACCAATGTCTCCCTTCACTCACTTTTCTGTTGTCTGTGCCCCTGGGAGGAGGTTATATGTAGATCATTGTGATTGGTTCTCCCTTTCTCCCCCCACCTTCCCCTTCCCCTTCTGGTACCGCTAGTCTCATTCTCAGTCCTGAGGGGTTTATCTGTCCTGGATTCCCTGTGTTATGAGCTCTATCTGTACCCGTGTACGTGCTCTGGTTTAGCTGGATTTGTAAGGTAGAATTGGGGACATGAAAGTGGGGGAGAGGAAGCATTAAAGAACTCGAGGAAAGTTGTATGTTTCCTCGGTGCTATACTGCACCCTGAATGGCTTATCTCTTCCTAGTGACCCTTCTGTAAGGGAATGTCCAATTGTCTACAGATGGGCTTTGGGTCTCCACTCCACACTCCCCCTCATTCACAATGATATGATTTTTTTGTTCTGGGTCTTTGATACCTGATACCTGATCCCATTGACACCTCATGATCACACAGTCTGGTGTGCTTCTTCCATATGGACTTTGTTTGCATCTCAGCTAGATTGCCTCTTGTTTATCTTCAAGCCTTTAAGACCCCGACCTTTAAGAAAGCTGGGCACCATCAGCTTTCTTCAGCACATTTGCTTATGCATCCATTTTGTCTTAGGGTATTTGAGCTATTTTTGATAGAAATGTAATGATAGATAGAAATGTAATGATGCCTCATTGTGGTTTTAATTTGCATTTCCCTAAAGATTAATAGTGAAGATCTTTTCATGTGCTTCTTTACCATCTGCATACCTGATTTTTCTTTAAATGTTGATTTTTTTGAGAGTTACCTAATATAGGTCCTACTCATTTGTAAAATATATTTGTAAATAGTTTCTACAAGTCTGTAACTTTTGCTTCCATTCTCTATAACAGGGTCTTTCATAGAGCAAGAGATTTAATTTTAATAAAATCCAATTTATCACGTTTCCCTTTTACGTATTATGCTTTGGGCACTAAGAACTCTCTACCTTGCCCTAGATCATGAAGATTTTCCCTTATATATTTTTCAAGTTTTATGTTATACATTTAAGTGCATAGTTTATTTTTAATTCATATTTCTATACCGTATGAGTCTTAGGTTGATGTTCATGTCTGTGGATATCAAATTAAAATTTTATGAAGAAGGCTCTTTCACCATTGCATTGCTTTTGTAGCCTTGTCAAAAATCAATGTAGCTATTTTGGGTACTCTATTCTGTTCTATTGATCTAAGTTTCAGTACCTTTGTCAATATCCAGTCTTGACTACTGCAGTTATACAATCACATCTTGAAATCGGGAAGACTAATTCTTCCATCTTATTTTCTTTTCCAAAGTTGTTTTAGTAAAATTTGACCTTTGCTTTCCACAATGCTGTTTATATCTACAAAAGAAAAATCAGTGGTATTTTCCATAAGAACTACATTAAACCTGTAAAAATTTAGGGAGAACTAACATGTTTATAGTATTTGAGTGCCCCAATCGATAAACACATTATGTCTCCAATGATTTTTTTCATCAGAGCTAGGTAATTTTCAGGAGCCCTGCTGTCATACTGGGTTACACCTTAGGCTGAGAGCTGCAAGGTCAGCAGTTAAAACTACCAGCTGCTCCCCATTAGAAAGATGAGGCTTTCTAGTCCCATCCAGAGTTGCAATCTCAGAATCCCACAACGGCAGTGCTACCCAGTCCTATAAGGGTCGCGATGAGTCAGAATTGACTTGATGGCGGTGAGACTAGTTTCCAGCAAACAGCCCCACGTTTTGTTAAATTTACAACCAAGTATTTTAAGTTAATTTCATAATTGTGAAATTATTATTGTATGTTTCACTTCAGTGTTTACCTGCTCGCTGCTAGTATGTTGTTAGAGTGCATCAAGTCAGTTACAACTCATAGCAACCCATGTACAACAGAATAAAACACTGCTTGATCCTGCACCATCTTCACAAATGTTCTTATGTTTGAGCCCACTGTAGCAGCCACTGTGTCAATCTATCTTGTTGGGATTCTTCCTCTTTTTTGCTGCCCCTCCACTTTACCAAGAATGATGTCCTTTTCCAGGGTCTGCTCTCTCCTGATAACATATCCAAAGCACATGAGAAGTAGTCTGGGCATCCTTATTTCTAAGGAAATTTCTGGCTTCATTTTTTTCTAATACAGATTCACTTGTTCTTCTGGCAGGCCTTGGTACTTTCAATATTCTTTGCCAGCACCATAATTCAAATGCATCCATTCTTCCCCAGTCTTCATTATTCAATGTTCAACTTTCACATGCATACGAGGTGATTGAAAATACCAAGGCTTTACTCAGGCACACCTTAGTCCTCAATGTAACCTCCTTGCTTTTCATTATTTTAAAAGGGTCTTGTGAAGCAGATGTACCCAAAACAATGTGCCATTTGATCTCTTGAATGCTGCTTCCAAGAGCATTGATTTGGATCTAAGCAAAGATGAATCACTGACAACTTCAACCTTTCTCCATTTATCACGATGTTACCTATTGGTCCAGTTGTGAGGATTTGGGACATATTTACATATTGAAGGCTGCAATCTTTGATCTTTATTAGCAAGTGCTTCAAGTCCTCCTCACTTTCAGCAAGCAAGGTCGTGTCATCTGCATATCAAAGGTTTTTAGTAAGCCTTTTTCCAATCTTGATACCACATTTTTCTTAATATAATCCAACTTGCATTATTTATTTAGCACACAGAATGAAAACGCATGGTGATAGAATATAACCCTTATGCACACCTTTCTTGATATTAAGCCACGCAGTGTCCCCACAGTCTGTTTGTGCAACTGCCTCTTGATCTGTGTGCAGGCTCCACACCAACACAATGAAGGGTTCTGGAAGTCCCATTCTTCTAAAATCTATCCGTAGTTTGTTATGGTCCACACAGCTAAATGCCTTTACACAGTCAATAAAACACAAGCAAATATCTTTCTGGTATTCTCTGCTTCCAGCCAATATCCATTTAACATGATCCTTGTTCTAAATCCTCTTCTATATCCAGCCTGAACCTCTGGCAGTTACCTATCAATGTACTGCTCCAACTGTTGCTAGATGATCTTCAGCAAAATTTTACTTTCATGTGATATTAATGATATTGTTCTATAATCTTTTCCAGTCAGTTAGCCTGGTATCTGTCTTCAAAATATCCTGGCATAAATGAGTAAATGCTTCTAGTACTTCCTTAGCTTGTTGAAACATTTCAATTTGTATTCCATCAGTTCCTGGAGCCTTGTTTTTGGTTAATGCCTTCAGTGCTGCTTGATAGTCTTCCTTTAGTACCAATGGTTCCTGATCATAAGCTACCTTTTGAAATGACTGGATGGTGACTAGTTCTTTTTTGAACAGTGACTCTGTATATTCTTTCCATCTTCTTTTGATGCTCCCTGCATTGTTCAATATTTTGTCCGTTGAATCTTTCAATATTGCAACTTGAGGCTTGAATTCTTTCATCAATTCTTAAAGTTTAAGATATACTGAGCATGTTCTTCCTTTTGGGTTTTCTAACTCTGGGTCTGCATATTCCATTAAAATATTTTACTGTCTTCTTGAGGTGTCCTTTGAAATTTTCTGTCTAGCTGTTTTATGTCATCATTCTTTTTCCATTTGCCATAGATACTCTGATTAAAAGCAAGTTTCAGAGTCTCCTCTGACATCTACTTTGTCAACAGACAACAGAAAAGTGGGTGAAGGGAGACATCAGTCAGTGTAAAACATGAAAAAATAATAATAACGTATAAATTATCAAGGGTTCATGAGGGAGGGTGGAGGGGGAAGGGAGGGAAAAACTGAGCTGATACAAAGAGCTCAAGTACAAAGAAAATGTTTTGAAAATGATGGCAACATATGTACAAAAGTGCTTGACACAATGGATGTATGCTGGGATTGTGATAAGAGCTGTACAAGCCCCAAATAAAATGATTGAAAAGTACTACTACTAATTAATAACACCCCCCCCCCAAAGAGTTTGTGGAAAAATGGAATTGAAAGATAATGGCAATTTTCCACAAACTTTGAAGCCCCCTTGGATAATAGTAGCTCCAAAAGGCAAAAGGAATCTGAATCCCTCAATCATCTTTCAGGAAACAATAGCTCAGAGAAACCCACAGGTGCAGCTGTGCTGGCCTGCTCTTGGTGTGCTAAGCTACCTGCTGGGCTTGTTTGTTGCTGTGATTAGCCTGTCCTGATTAATACACCTCCTCTGTGAATTCTTTCCTGATTAACTGAATGAAAATCATTCTCCTCCACTCTATTTCTGTGCTTTATGAATACTTTCAGTATTACATACAGCACTAAGCCCCGGTGGTGCAGTGGGTAAGGTTACCAGTTCGAAACTGCTAGCTAGGTACTCCTTGGGAGAAAGATGAGGCTTTCTACTCCCGCAGCACTTACAGTCTCGGAAACCCCCAGGAGCAGTTTCACTCTTTACTATCAGATTGCTATGGGTCAGAACTGACATGCTGAGGTGATGCCTATCACACTATTAAACAGCATTTCTCACACACTACCCTCCCCTACTAGTCAACGAGCTCTGTCATCTTTCCATCCCAGCACACAGCATACTCACGTAAAATTAGTCAGGTACCCTGATAATAAAGTAGCAGTGGTGCAAAAGAACTCGCCCGGTATTTTTTAAGTCAAGGAAAGTATTTTCCTCTTTCAATGATAAAGAGTTCTTAGAAGATTATTGCTTTGAGAGTAAGGCGAGTAAGGATCAATTCATTAAATACTCACAATCTGCAAGTGTTACAACTCAACTCAAACGGTGCTCTGGCATCACAATGGTGGTTAACATACAGCCACAAACTATACACCAGGGTAAAGATTTGAAAAAACCAAGCCCATTGCCATCAAGTCCATCCCAATGCAAGGCAACTCTGTAGGATGGAGGGTAACCACCCTGCAGGATTTCTCAGGCTGCCTGCCACACCTTTCTCCCACGGAGCAGCAGATGGAACAGCTGGTGGGTTGCAGGTAGCAACAGAGCACTGACCAAACGCACCACTGGGTTCCTAGTACAAAGATTAAGGATGACATATTTCTGAGAAGAATTAAACACATACGCGCTCATAGACAGAAACTGATACCTGATTTCTCTGCTGTTCAACTTCATCCTCTGATGTGCAGTTGGATATAACCTCAGCCCATTCTAGACGCTCCTCTGGTGGCCTCACCACAAGACTATCAAATACTTCAAAGTAAAGCCATGCCAGGTCCTTGGCCAACTGCAGCTTCCCACAGGCAATGTGCCTCCATGTAGACCAGTAGAGCCGCGGGTAAGCGCCCTCGTTGGCCCGGGTTCGGACGTAAGTTGCTATCTTCCGGAGATAATGAAGGCTGAACTTGGACGGAGGTGGTATCTGCAAGGCACCCACTATAAAGGGTTCTGCTTTCACCCATAGGAGAACTCCGGACTGATCCATATTACTTCTAAGGACATCTGTGTGGAAAGGCTTCTTTGCATACCTATAAAACAAGGTTTCTTCACAAACTGAGTTGAAACAAAATTCATTTATGCATTTTCTTGAACAATGAGCATTCTTCTGACTTGTTACATGTGCTATATCATTTGGGTAAGTGGTACTTTCCAGTCATCGGAATTGTTTTTTTGGTCAGGCCTCATTACAAACTATTTTAGCAAGATAAATTGTTATAAGATGAATTTATGTGATACAATCTTATTCAAATTCTTAGAAATAACAGTTTCAGGAAGAGAGAGTAAATGTGTGAGGGATGGGCAGTTGGTGAAAGATCTGGAGATGTTACCTGGCTATCCAAAGAATATGGTCATTGGACCTGGTTCTTAGGATACAACTTCTAAAATCTTGGATATTGCCTTTGTTATTTATGAAGTGCACAAGACCAAACAGAACGGTGTATGCTAAGGACACAGCCCATGGAGTGGGCTGGACATTCCAAAAAGACCCATCTGTGAGTCAGCTGGACTTCGGAGGAAGAGCTTGGGATTGTGTTCAATCACCTGGTCAATCAATGATCCCTCTATCAGGAAACCACAAGAAAAACCCTGAACCCTGAAACTCAAATGAGCTTCCTGGTTGGTGAAAGGCATTCATTCATCCATGCACCAGGAAGTAAACAAGTGCCTGGGGACATGGACTTCATCCTATGTGCGAAGTCCTATGTATGGAAAATGGAATTACAAAATAATGAAATTTTCCCCATAAACCTTTTGAAGCCCCTTTATATCCTAAGTTCTGTTAATCATTCTAGCAAATTATCATACCCCAGGGGGCACTAAGAACCCAAGAATTTATCATCAGAAATTCAGGTGGAAACCATAGTCTGGCATCTGAAGTCCTGGGCAGATTTAGCAGTCTGGAGGACTGTCCCTTAACCTGTGAAATCTGATCCAACTCCTTGTGCTTAAGGTCAAAAGCACTGACTGCAGTGAGTGCCAAAAATGGATTGAAATGCACTTGCAATTGATAATTAGATATAAACCTGCAAATATCAATCAAGAGATGTCATAACCTCTTCATTTGCTGTTGTTATTAGTTAAAATTTAAGTGTATGATTTTAAATTTGTTGTTTTTCTGTTCTAAGACCAATGCATGATTTTTTTTTAATCATTGTATTGGGGGCTCGTACAACTCTTATCACAATCCATACATACATCCATTGTGTCAAGCACATTTGTACATTTGTTGCCATCATCATTCTCAAAATCCAGTGGATGATTTTTATGAAACATCTATAAAAATACCTAAAAGTAGAAATCACAGTCCCACTACCAAAGGGCAGCAGGTTATTTTTTCTATACATATGTAAGTTAGTTTGCTTCTAAATTTTGTGACAATAATGTAACGGATTGATACAATTCTGTATCAATGCTTCGTGGCATTCTAAATAAATGTATACTCAAAAATTCAACTCACACACAACTCAACATAGGACAGGGTAGAACTTCCCCTGCACATTTCAGATATTTTAACTTTTTACAGAAGTAGGAAGCATGGTCTTTCTCATGAGGGGAGCTCCTTAAGTGTCATTCATTAAAAACTCTAGATTATTACATTGTTTTCCCAATTTTAGGCACTCAGGTTTAAAATTTTGTACAGGAAAAAATATTCCTAATTCTTAAAGATGGGTAATGGGTGAGGGTTCGGTCACCTATTCTACTTTTTGTGTATAAAAAGTTTACTTTTTATTATTGTGAGCAATGCTATTACTAACATATTTCCATTATTCCAATATTTTCTCAAGGTAAAATCTCATATGGGTATTGGCATGTGAATACTGACATTTCTTAAATTCCTGACATATATTCCCATAGCTTTCCAAAATGGTTGTATCAAATTATACACTGATTAGCCCATTTTGAATACTTCACCTCCTTTAAACCTCAGAGCAAGGCCAGAGTACATATGACTATGCCCAGTTTCAGATAAGGAACTTGCCCACAGTCACATAATCAGCACAGTGCTGGATTAGAATTCAGATCTGTCACACTTGAAAACTGTGTTGCTCCAAAGTTTGTCAGGGAACCCTATTTTGGGATACCATCTGAAGACAGGAGGGTATCCAAAGGATTACAAGAATGAAGAGCGTATATCTAAAGGCCAGGTGAAGTTAGCTGGGTTTGAACTTCTTCAGCCCAGTGGTCATGGTAGATGAAGCAAAACCAAAACAGCCTTGTACTTTTTAAATGTGTGTGGATTACACTTAAATGTAGAACATGAACCAGAATGAGAAAAAAGACAGGTTGAAGCTCTACTAGAAACTTAAATCTCCCTTTTAGACACAAGGGCAGCTTTATCAGAAGAGTGGGAAACACCAGTGTCGAGCTCAAAGATGGTTGCTGAGCTGCTTTGAACGTGTCATTCTTCACAGTCCTGACAATAATCCAGTGCCAGGCGTCAGGATCCTGAAAGGGCCTCACGAAGCCTTGTCAGTGTCTCTCATTCCCAGGGGGCCTGTAATTTTCCCTGTCCCCCACTCCGGGGTTTAGCGTGGTAATTATTCCCATTCTGGATCGAATACATTTGGAATGTGCAGCTCTATTCCAATTTCACTTTGTTGGCCATGACTGATAGATGCAAAGCGCTGGAAAGGACACGTGAGCATATGCCCAATGGATGGTTGTGGATTGGGAAATAATAGCTATTTTCAAATATGGGAGTGCTACACTTTGGGCGCTAACCTCGAGGTAAGCAGTTCGAAACCACCACGGGCTCCACAGGAGAAAGATGCGGCTTTCTACTCCCATAAAGAGTTACGGGAGTTACCCACAGGGCAGTTCTACCTTGTCCCATAGGGTGGCTAGGAGTCGGGTGAGTGAGTGCGCGCGCCTCATTCTGAGGAAAGCCAGATGGTCAAAGTGACAGGCGGAAGACTTGGTTTGGTCCCCAAAGGGGAACAGGTTTCACTGGGAGGGCGTGAATTTCTATCCCTGAAGGCTACATTCTGGAGATGATCCCATAAGGTTCCTTTGGACTACGAGATTCCAGAAGTTCAAGTGTGTACAAAAGCAAAGGGATCTCTCCCCCAAAGCTTCCCAGGGATGCTCGGGCACCTCAGGGTTTTCCGGGTGGGGGGTCCGACGGAGGCCCGGGCTCCCCGGGCGGCCTCGCCCGACGCCCGCGGTGAGAGGATCGGTTTCCGAGGCCGGGAAGCCAGCCTGACCGCGCAGTCCAGGGCTGACGTTCGACGGGTCCACCCGCCCGCCCGGCGCCGGCCCACCCGCGGTTACCTGCGAAGGCAGGCCCACTCGCCGGTCTCTCCACGCCCGCGGGGCCGCGCGTCGCTCCCTCGCCCTCCGCCGCAGTGCGCAAGCGCGAGCTCGGCACCAACGAGAGCCCGCTGGCGCGCGCCTAGAGCGGCAACTCGCGCCTTCGGTCGTGGAGGATGGGAATCCATTGAAGAGCAGCGGGTTTGGTTTCGTTTACTTCTGGGGGGAAAAGCTGGTCTAACGCCCGGAGTTCACGCTGCAACCCGTGGCCAGACTCGGCTAATTTCTGGGGTCTTGCCTTTCCGAACGACCCCAAACCAGACCCACTGTAGTGGAGTTGGTTCCGACGGACAGCGCCCCTGTGGGTTGGAGGAGCGCATTCGGGTTACAGGATCGCCAGGCCTTTCCCCCTCAGCCCGGTGAATTCGACTGACCTTTTTGGTTAGCGGCCGAGAGCTTTAACTACTACAGCACCAAGGCTCCCACATAAGGAAGGGAAATTCTCAATTGCTCCACAAAAATGTAGTCAGCCAATAGCTATTGGCAAGGTCAGCCTGCTTTGATCCATAAACAATAGTAGTTTGCATCAATGGAGAATATATCAGGCAGAAGAGGGAGTTGGCAGGGCAGGTGGGCAAGAAGATAGAGCTGGTGAAAACACTCCAAGGGCACTGAACCCCCTTCTCCCCTCCTCTCCCTCCCCTTCTTCCGCCTTCTTCCCTCCTCCTCCCCCCCTTCTTCGGTGGCCTTCAGACCCAGGTGCAGAAGACTAACCGTTACAGATAACTTTGAACGTTGTTGTTTAGCTCTGGGCCTGCAGACAACAAAGTTACAGTGGAAAATTCCGCAGCTACTCCCTCTCCCCCAGACCCGGCCTATAAAACTCTACCAACTGTGCACTTCTCAGGGCCCCAATTGGGGGCCCGGGAACCTCACCCGAGGAGCTCAGGATGCCTCCTTCCCTTTCTCTGCTCTCCCTTCCCTTCCCTGAGCTCTGAAATAAACCTGACACTGTTTTCTAGCTTTGCTTTTTTTCTTTACGTTGTAAAATCAACCTCACATGATGTACTGTGGGCAATGTGAAAAGCACCTTCTTTGTATTATTATCTGTCTCCCAACCAAGAGTCCTTTAAGTCCGGTATATTTGCTTGAATTAAAGAAGTTGAAGTAACTTAACCTTAAAGTCTCACAGTGTCAGATTTGGAGGCAAGATTCAAACCCAGGCAGTTTGAAAGGAGAGCACCCTGTGGTATCTACTTAATTCACTTAGTCTCAGATGAGGCTATGCTATGCTCCCTCCTTCAAGAAGCTTTTTTGGATTTCATTCGAATTTATCATTCCTTTCCCTGAACCTCTATTTCATGATTTCTGGTCATTTCCTGCTTTCTTTGTTTAGGCTCTCTGCCCTCATGGGAGAGACAAAGATTAAACGAGACAATAACATGTATTTCAGTCTCTCCTTCCTACTATGCATCTTCCAGAAAACAAGAATCCTTGTCTTCCCTTTAACTCCACAAAGAATCATGCTGCAAAAAGCAGGGGGTTTGGATTAAAATAGCCCTGAGTTAAGATTCAACACACATCATTTAATTAACTTAATGACCTTTGGCAAATTTCATCACCATTCTATGCCTTAGGATTTTCTGCAACAGTAACTTTTTTTTTAAAATGAAAGCCACTGGACTGAGCAGGTGCTAGTGTTATAGCAGTGAACAAAATAGACAAGGTCCCTGTGTTTTTGGAGTGTATATTTATAAAGAAATGAGATTGGATAATTTTAGTAGTACCTACTGAAGATATAATGAAATAGGTCTGGAAAGCACTTTGTAGTGTGACTATTTTGAAGAATAAGCTAGTCATATGAAGCATATATATATGTATATATATATATTCTCCCACTCTATTCCAGGAACTGTTCTACACCTTTGTAAGCATAGCTGGGAACAAGATGGACCAGATTTATGATCTCCCGGACCCACCATTCCAGTGTGTGAGTGTGAGGAGATAGAGGTGGAAAAATAACACAGGGTAGTGTGAGAATAAGCGACTCTTTCAGACAAATCCTCTCTAAAGTGGTGATGCTTAAATACCTTGATACCTGAGCTAAAAATGGAGTCATTCATATTAAGATCGCAAGGAAGACTGTTGAAGGCAGAAGGAATCACTAGTACAATAGACTAGGGTCTAGGATGGAGTGAGTTTGAAAAACAAAACCAGTTTTTTAAAGAATTTCAGAGAGAACTTCCATGGTCATCCAATCAAAATTAGTCCCTACTGAGTCCCTTATTAGGAGGAGCTCTGGTGGCTTAGTGGGGATGCGTTGAGCTGCTAACTGCAAGGTCATTAGTTTAAAAGCACCAGTTGCTCTTGGGAGAATGGCATGGCTCTCTAATCCTGTAAAGAGTTCCGGTGTCGGAAATCCACAGAGGCAGTTCTGATTTTTGTTGCTGTTTCATCATTGTCATTTTGCTACTGTTATGAATCAGGTGACCCCTGTGAAAGGGTTATTTGACCCCCAAAGGGGTAGTGACCCACAGGTTGAGAACCGCTGCTTTAGGGTCACCATGAGTCGGAATCATCTCAATGGCAGTGAGTCTGGATGGAGTCCCTTATTCTTATACCACCCCGTTTTACTTTTTCCACAACTGTCTTCTGCACTCACGTACTGGAATGTCGGTTCCATGAGATCATAAATCTGGTTCTTTATGTTCCCAGCTGTTTCCCCGGCATTTGGAACACTCATGTATATTAAGTCATCATATAGACCATGTAAGTTATGGTCATGAGTTAGAATTTTATTTTACATGCAATGAAAAGCCATCAGCACTTTTAAGCAGAAGTGACACAATTTAACTTTTTCCATAACAAGAGAGGTTCACGAGTGAACAAGGGATGAGGATTTCCAGATGCATTTGAACTATGGTATAAAGAATACTATAAGCCCCATGGGCCAAGAGAACAAACAAATCTACCTTGGAAGAAGTACATCCAGAATGCTCTTAGAGGTGGAAGATGGTAAGGTTTCGTCTCACAGTGCTTTGGACATGTTGTCAGGAGAGACCAGTCCCTGGAGAAGGGCATCATGCTTAGTAAAAAGCACAGCAAAAAGAGGAAGGCCTTTGTGGCAGTTACATAGTTTACTGCCAGCTTGAGGAACAGGTGGAGTCTAGCCTGTCAATCAGGTCACAGCTTGATGACCTCATTTGGAGGCACAATGGAGATAAATAGCTCACTGGAGGCCAGACACGCTCTCTCTGCTACACATTCCTGTTGACAAGCCACATGGGGCTACGGTGATGGAGCCAGAGCCCTGGAGCTGGATGAGCCACATGGAAACCCCTGCCAGCACTGAGATGCCTCCACTGTCACTGGATCCACAAGACTTTCCATCCACTGGCCTGTGATCTTCCTGCATTCAGCGTTATTGCATGTGTTGTGTGAGTCTGAAGAGGTATATATAGACTGGTATTGTACATATGGGCTAGTATCGGACTTACAAACTTGATCTGGACTGGGTTGGCATGTTTTCTCAATATACAATTGCTCTTTTATGTAAAGCTTTTTTATATACATATAAGGGTCTATGAATTTGCTTCTCTAGTCAACCTGGACTAACACAGCCCTCAGCAAGATGGACTGACACAGTGGCTGCAACAATGGGTTCAAACATAAGAACAATTGTGAAGATGGAATGCGCCTGAGAAACCTGCTGTACATGGGGTTGCTCTGAGTCCTAACCAGCTTGACTGCACCTAACAACAGATGCTGCGCTTATGGAAATGAGCCAAACTACACTGGGGAATCAGAGTTCAGTTGGAAACTGTAATAAGTTATTAGTTGCCTGCTTACTTACTATTGCCAGACACTGTGCTAAACGGTGTTTCCCCTCTTAAAAATTGGCAACACTACAGCTATCAAAAGATATAGTATCTGGGGTCTTAAAGACTTGAAGTTAAACAAGCAGCCATCTAGCAGGGAAGTAAATAAGCCCACATGGAAGAAGCACACCAGTCTGTGTGATCATGAGGTGTCGACAGGATCAGGTATCAAAAGATCCAAAACAAACAACTATATCGATGCAAAAGAGGGGGGGTTGGAGGGGAGACCCAAAACCCATCTATAGATGATTGGACATTCCCCCACAGAAGGGCTACAAGGAAGGAGTCAACCAGGGTGCCGTATAGCACTGATGAAACACACATCATTCCTCTAGCTCCTGAATGCTTTCTCCCACCCCCAGTTCTACCTTACAAATCTGGCTAGACCATAGTACACACATTGGTACAGATAAGAGCTCTGGACACATGAAATTCAGGACAGATAAAAACCCTCAGGAACAGTAGTGGGAGTATCCATATCATGAGGGTAAGGTAAGGTGACCAGACATCCCGCTTTTGGCGGGACAGTCCTGATTTTTAACAATTTTTCCCGCATCCGGCAGCGTTTTTAAAAAGTCCCGATTTTTGGAAAGAATGAACGACAAGCTAGGGTATACAGTTTTCAGCTGCCATGTGGCTATTTCACCAGAATATGAGTTTTATCAATGGTGTCCCG